CCCCCCCCCCCCCCCATCACTTGTGTAATGGTTTCCCACCCCATCACTTGTGTAATGGTTGCCCCCTCCCCATCACTTGTGTAATGGTTGCCCCCTCCCCATCACTTGTGTCATGGTTGCCCCCTCCCCATCACTTGTGTAATGGTTGACCCCTAATAGTTGTACTTGTAGCGTATTTGAGTGGGTGTACTGTGCTTCGAAAACCTCAGTATCTTTTCGTTGCTTGATCTTTCAGGGCAGTTCGGGATGGTGGCTTTATGAATATTGTCATGGCAGACATGTCCAACAATACCATCAGGTAGTCTTGATACATTTTCATTTTGTGCTACCATCATTTTCTATCAATAAATCTGAGCTGCACGATAGTGAAACCTGGAGTCTTCAACATGTTTTGCTCAATTTACACAATAGGATCAACAAGGGAAAACTATCATTTATCTTGGACAGTGGAACACTGATGTGAGTACTACACAGTCGCCCTAATTTGTTATTTTAATCTGTCCAAAGCCAGGCCATTTTATTTGTCAAGGGAGTCTCTTGAATGCTGATGGATTAACCAGACCATTTCCGCTACCCATTAGCGTCCAAATAATTGCATTCAGAAAGGACTAACGTAGATTTTGATATATAGCACTTGAATTTACATGCAATATTGACTGCGCTATTGATGTTTGAACGTTAAACTAGTGTTTTTGAAAATGCCAAAAATTAGCATAAAACAACCTTATAATTACAGATGTAGTTATACTTGTTAAATGATAAATATTTTTATTTTGCTTGTATCTCGCTCAATATTGCATGATGTAAATTAAAGTGTTATATATCAAAATCTAAGTTAGTCCTTTCTGAATGCAACGATCTTTATTTCATTGCGATAGCTTTTATAGCTTTTACGTTAAGCTTAGTTTCCATTTGGTCGTTAGTTGTCGCTGGCACGACAAGTGGCTGATGTAATAGAGTGTCAACAAAACTTTATAAAACTCTGCAATCATTAACACTGATTTGCATAACACACACAAAGACTATTATTATATTAGACTATTTCACATCTACCGCTTGTCTTGCCAGTGACAACTAACGACCAAATGGAAACTAGACTTTACATCATACATGAAATCAAACAGTGTTCACTTTTTGGGACACCACATTGGGATTCGGTGTCAGACTGTATGTGTATATGGTGCATTGAACTATAAATAAACTGGAAGGCTAACTCAGGGGGGGAAATTGAAGCCAGTGTATTTTAGTTTTTCTGAGTTATGAGCGGAAATACTCAGCACTGAACGTTCGGCTATATATCAAATTGAAGCTATTGAAAAACGCTATTTGGTGTAGAAATTTCAAGACTTTAGCTAAAAGGGAAATATTGAAAAATTACAAACATAATTACTCGCTGGGGCACCCTGTGCCCGGGCGAGTATAGGTTTCGGCACACATTTTTAGTGGATTTCCAATAGTGGATCGCAATTTTCTTGTATAGCCACAAAATAGAATATTAATGAGCTACCCACTTTATCCTTTTCAAAATGGCGGCCTTGGTGGAGTGAGCAAAGTTTTTCGAACAATTTCGTTAAAATTTTCAACGAATTGTACCTGTTTTCTATGGATTTAGCATTGTGTCTAACTTTGGACATTCTTGCTAGTTTAGTTAATGCATTTTTCTTGGTGCACGACTCTGAAAATCCGAAATTTGGATCGTTGAATAACTTGAATTCCTGTGCACGATCATATAATATACTGAATCTGAATTTAAAACGAGCCAAAGACATGCACAATTTCAAGGTAAAAGGTTATAACTTAAACTACATAACGTAGTTTTAATAGATAACTACTTGATGAGAAGCATATTGGTGTCATATCAATATAAAATTTATCCAACAACAGTCGGCTCTAAGGCCTAAATACTTATAGTTAGCTGTGAACGTAAACTGCAGTGTGAAATATGATATTGTATTTGTAATGCTTAATCTAATGGCGCAATAAGGAAAAAATACCACCGTTTGATTCAGTGTAAGAAATTGTACTTACGGATGACAAATGTATTACTAAACAACAATATTCTAGCAATTTATGGCCTTTGAAAATCAAACGAAATTGTATTGTTGACTATTAAATCGCTCGCAGACCTCTCGCAGTATGTGTTTACTGTTGTTGACAATCACTCGACACTCGCAGTACGTTTGACTTCGTATTTGTACTGTCTAATGGCGCAATAAGGATAAAAATATCACCGTTCGATTCAGCGTAAGAAATTGTACTTACGGATGTCAAATGTATTACTAAACAACAGTATTCTAGCGGTTTATGGCGTTTGTCTTTGAAAGCCAAGCGAAATTGTATTGTTAACAAATCGCTCAAAATTTATATTAAACTAATTATAAAAAATGCAGTACGTTTGATCCTTGATAACTTTGGTATCGTTGGTTTTCCCTTTTTCGTCCGTACACCAGTAGATTCGTCTCACTTCTCTCTTCATTTTGATAGTATTTTGAGCCCAAAAATATTATATTTCGCACGTTTTTAAGTGCAGTTTAACCCTAGCCAAAAATTATTTTGAACGTTTTTAAGCGCAGTTTAATCCTAGCCGGCGGAAACGCAGGAAGTTTTATTTGTAGACCACATGTAATAGTACTGTTTCTGATTGTATAAGTCCTGAACTGAGGTCATTATACTAACAGAAACTTCAAAACTGAGCCACCTACCTGCAATACAAGCCTACTAATTTGACAAGCAAAATCGACTGGTTTAATAATAAAGTAGGGTGCATGATTGCCATTGGGGCACAATGCAAATCAGTGGGATAATAAACAATATTATAACATGGTATTCACCTAAATAAACTGCAGAGCACTGTTATATGTTGATATGGTTCAAAACAGAGTGAACAAAACTCGCGCTCAGTTTCCCGCTTAGCTTGGGACAACCTCACAACCTTAAATTTTAATTAAAATAGCTGTGTACTGCATGCATGTATGTATCATACATGGTAATGTGCGTATTTGTATATAGCCCCAGCGAGTTAACGCTCTACGGAGCGTCTTGTTGGTATTAAAATTGAATGGTATTAAAACTGTGTACGACCTGTGTCATGGTATTAAAACTGTGTACGAACTGTGTACTAAAACTGTGTTATTGGTATTAAAACTGAATGGTATTAAAACTGTGTACGACCTGTGTCATGGTATTAAAACTGTGTACGAACTGTGTACTAAAACTGTGTTATTGGTATTAAAACTGAATGGTATTAAAACTGTGCACGACCTGTGTCATGGTATTAAAACTGTGTACGACCTGTGTCATGGTGTTAAAACTGTGTACGAACTGTGTACTAAAACTGTGTTAATGGTATTAAAACTGTGTACGACCTTCATAGCTTTTGGACGTCAATTCCGCCATCTTGGCTTCACTTTTCTCACAGGCCGAAGTTCTTATTATTAAACGGTTTATTAAAATCAAATCATCTCGCAGCCAGGAGGCTGAATTACATGATTTTTACAATAATTATATTTAAAAATATATAACTTTACAATTAGATCTCACTGAGGATAAAAATACTGAGGTAAAAATATTATAAATGTAGAATAGAAAAACTATAATTAGACTAGTTCTAAGAGACTTGATATAATGTGTTAGTTTTTTTTATTACACCTTGGAATATTAAAAAAGTTTGGATTTCTTAAGTTGTAAGTATTTGAATGCTTTGTAGGTAAGAGATGGTGAATTTTATGATGTTTGTCATTCACTATTGATTTGAAGACTTTAGTACATAATCCTTCCCTTCTTGTCTTCAAAGTTTCCATATCTAATTCTTCAATGGCTTCTGAATACGACAAGTTCGGGCATATGCGCAAAGCTCTCTTCTGAATCCGCTCTATTTCGTCTGAAAGATATTCCGGGAGACGTAATGAAATACTTGACATGCGTATTCGAGGATATATCTTATAGAAGCAATGTAGAAACATTTTAAATCATTGTCACTAAGACCCGATCTCTTTAGTTGTTAGTCGCTTCGCTGCTTTAGTTGTTATCTTATCCACATGGGCATTCCACTTCATGTCTTGAGTGATCAATAAACCAAGAATCATTGCTTTTTCAACACGCTCTATACGTTAATTCCGTTTATCTTTATCGTCGGGAAAACAGGTTCATTATACGTTGAAGGTTAATCACAATCTCCTTGCATTTTGTCGGGATTTTCACAATACAATTAGTAACATCTTGCAGGGAACTTGTATACTGTTGATTAAGTATATATTCAGAAACATTGGTGTCGTCTGCTTATTTAAACACATCACCTTCAAAATCATCAGATGGGATCGAAAGATCGTTAATCATAAGGAGAAATAGCCATGGGCCCAATTTGGTTGCCTGAGGAACTCCAGCATTTATAGGCTTCCAATCTGAAAAACAGTCCGAGTGGAGTTTTACTCTTTGTGATCGTGCACGTAGGAAGTCTACTATCCAATTAAACACCGATGGTTTAATACCAATTCGCTGCAGTTTCTGGCAAAGAATGTTATGGTCTATTAAATCAAATGCCTTCCGATAATCCGTAAGCAGCGCTCGTACGGTTCCGCCCCTCACATCCACAGTTTCTGTCCAATGATGAATTAAGGATATTAGGGCCAATGTAGTACATGCAGGAGCCAGGAATAAAACCATACTGATTGCATGGGATCTATGCATGACATTATTGAAGACTTAAGATCATATGAGATGACAATTTCCTCAGCGATTTTGCATGATGATGATGTGAGTGACATAGGCCGCAGATCTTTATTAACGTCCAATACAATCTTATTTTTGGGAATGGGACATACGTTTGCTAGCTTCCAAACCGCGGGTAGCCGTTCCTCCCGGAAAGACGCATTTAATATCACAGTAACAGGTTCGGCAAGTAAATCTGCAAACGCCTTCAACACCCAATTCGGTAGATTATCGGGGCCACTTGATTTACCCGAACCGATACGCTGTAATCGATGTAACATTTTTATTATCTATATTCTTGCCCAAGATATAGATAGAGCTTTCTGCGCTTGGCAAAAACAAATTCGCCTAGTTGAAAACGAGCTTTAGACGTGGCTTTAATCGATACGGAGATTGACGTGTTAAGTATAGGAATGTCTTAGGCATCCGACGGATCTTCGCACACTCTCCCAGAACAGGTACTCGACGGTGTAATATGGATTTTCTGTTTTATCCGATAAACGAAAACGTAGAACGGATAAACGTCTGCAAGCATCGGAACACAAAATAGGATGTAAACCGTACGACTCACTCGTACACACGTCAGCAGTTCCTTGCGTAAAATCTCACGGAAACCTCTGAAACAATCATCTGAGTTGAAGAATGTTCAAGTCAAGCTCCAAAGAACTGGTTCAAACAAAATAATTTTTCTGGACAAGGAGAAGGACAAGGACAAAGATGAATTTCATTTGAAATATTTTTGTTTCGTTATGTCGAAACGTCCTTTTGCTTATCCTTATATGCTTATCTCAAACATCGCCTAACCTTAGCTGAGATAAATACCAAGAACGGGGGATGTATGCAATGCTATAGTACAGTATAGACCATTAATTTTGGAGAATTACTGCAGCATTATACACGCGTAGCCTCGACTTTTGAATTTTATTCTTACGTAACGAGCCTGTGTGTGTATAACGCAATTCTCCAGTAACTCTGCAAACGTCTATAGTGCTCTTATTCACTTACAGCTTACAACTAAAATAGAAATCTAATCGAAAAATAGTGTTTCTTTCAAACAACCCATCACACGTGACTGACCGAACAGCATGCATTAATGGTACTATACAAAGGGTGGTGGGTATGATTTGTTGGTGGGTGTGGTTCACGTTTTGAGCGAAAAGTAGGATCAGAGGCAGTGACGTAACCAGGATTTCTGGTTAAGGGAGCCCAAAGATCCCAGGGGATAAGCAATTTTACCTTGCATTAGTTCGAATATAGCGTTTGCTTATTTGAAAAAATGTACTGGGACTCACAGGCTATCCAAGCATAATATAGTACAAAGAACTTTTAAAGGGGTTCATTAGAGTGGGTAAACTGGCATTTTCAGCATTTTTATCGTGTTTTGGTGATTTGAAACCATTATTTAACGCATAACAAATTAACAACTCTAACTTAATGACAAACCAATCCAGAACATTTAACACACAGCAATTAAGATATAAAATTTACATTACAAGAAATGAAAATATACTGAACATGCTTTGTACTGGTACAAACATTTCCAATGGGAGCCCACAATTTCGCCGGGAGGACGAGCCTCGTCTATGATCGGAGGAAACGGATAAAAGCGCTGTTTCTTCAGCAAAACAACAAAGTCAGTTATAAGTACTGTTAAACTATATCAAGCCGGGAGACCCTGGTTCAATCCGTGGTCGGACCTCTACATTGACAGATTAGAATTTCGTGTCTTTTCGGATAAGGACTTTACATCGTAGGTGCGAGACCTCGGATCCCCTATCAATTGGGCAATAGCCTGTTGGGAAATCCGCTCACAAATGAGTGAGAAAGTGAATAAACTCAAATTAAAAAGCTTAGTAAAACAGATAAGACCTGACGGATTGGCATACTTCTATACCGTGGCCAACGTTGACACTCAAGTTGGATTGAGGTAATAGATTGTAATAAGTTTACCCAGTTGATATAAATTGTAATACATTACTGAGCTGTGTTAAACTTGCCGGAAGCGTTGATGGCATTTATACGATTGTACTTTATTGAGTATTGACATCCTCTGCCTATCAGCACTTCTTATCGCATTGTATTCACATTATGATTACGCTGACGGCCCAAGTTATACCGAGCCTGGATGATAGATAACTTTACTATGCCGTTTTATCAATTTTATATCGATATCTTGTTAGTTAATGCTGCCGTATTGAGATGTAGCCATTAACAACTAGCTGACGAAGGCACTGACATGTTGTATCTAGACTATTTTACAAGACAAATACATGCAACTCACCGCCAATTCTTGTTCGCCAAAATGGTAAATGAGAGAACTTTGTTCTCTAATGTTCTCAAAACATATTTTTAAAGCAACATTCATTGCGTGATCTTGACGAATAACAAAACACTTCAAGTCTTCAACAACTTGTAAATTACAGTTCTTTCAATTGTCAAATTGCCGTAAATTGCTGGGTCTGATCGTTGCCAGTCACTAAAAGAACTTAAAATCTTTGGTTTATTGATGGAACGCCTCTCTTAAAAATATCTACTGCCCATAAAGCAACAACCTACTATATGTATAACTTATAATGCCTCACATAACTATGTTTGAACGTTTGCCGAATAGGATACAAACATCTCAGTATAGACTAACATATCCTGTTAACACAATGTACGCCTCCGCGCATGTATAATTTATACAAAATCAAAGATTATTTATAGAGGGGTGTAGACAGATTTCTGCGTTTAATTGCTGTTTTGTGACTCTCAGACTATCATCATGTAAAATAGGGCAACATCTGTAGCCAAAACATATACAACTAAGTTACCATGCAACATGTTGTTTTTTATGATAAAGCAGCAAAAACAACTACAAGCACTTCTTTCTTCAATGTATGTTTTAATGCCAACAATCCAATCGTAATTTACATACATTGATATTAAATAAACAAAATAACAAACATCCTAAACATTGAATAGTTACTATTTTACGGCTAAGGTGTGAAAATCCAAATATATACTTTGGAGTAGTTAGGATGGAACAACAACCAGCCAAATATCGGTCAAAATGCCTCGGTTTTAATCAGCCCAAATAGCCTTGCATATATTCAAAACTTCCGTCCCAACAATTTTGTCAAAATACAACACTACCACTTACCAGACTGATTCAATAGTAAAATCAAGATCCAGTGTCTGTACTATAGCACTATACGTTAATATACACCTCACGCATTATTCAAACGAATAGCAATGATAATATCCATATTTTGTTATCCACGCAGAGCACATTAATCATTATACTAAATACTATAAACCTTACCACGACACAAAGATATTGCATTAATTATACGCTCAATCAAAGAAATAGCCATAGATGGTGTGTAAATATTCCGTCATGGTTTGAAGGACATCAGAAGTTACACAATGTAGGATGTACTTTTAAATTGAAAACACGCAATACCATTGCCATTGCAAACTTCAACTAGTATATGGCAGTGATGACTTAACTTGCAGTCTAGCAGACCATGATAATATACAAGAAGTCACCAGAAGGATTTAACTACCAAAGAAACTTTTGAATGTACTTCAAAAGTACTTCAATATTTCAAACAAAGTCACTTTGCCTGGAAGTGCATGTATAGACAGTAGAAATCGACTTCTAAAGGTTGGCGGCTACTAATTTCCAGACAAACGCTCGAAACGTCGACGTACGTTCTAGATTTTTCAGGCACAACTTCTTGAATATTGTTGAAGGCTGCCATCACTGGAACCCGACACTATTGAATTTATACATTCAAATGATCGAATATTTCAGTTAGTCTAGAATTTTCAGAGCCTGGCAACCAATAAAACAAAGAACAAGAGCCCAAGATAAGTATCATTCCATAAAAATGCACAAAATGATGTTATATGCATCCAGTCACGATCCAGTTATCAATAGGTTTTCATTAGAGAAACTTAGAAAGTCGACGAGGCAAACACGACGACGCGGTCTCAATTTCAGCTGAAGATTGAGAACGAAGGAACTTGATGACTGTAATGAATTGAAGCTTTTAAAATAACTTTACAAACGGCTGAGTTCGGGAAAAAACGATCCGGTGTCTGCTATGAGACAGATTTTATGTAACTCCTCCAACGTCGTAACAAGCATTCACGTTGCTCCATTGACGTGAAATCTTATACTGTAGTTTGTGTTTCACGCTGTACAGTATGATTCAGAATGACAATGTTGTTGAGGAGACCCCTGGGGACAACAAATTATTCAAACCTTTGTTTTGCATGAAGAATTTCTTTGTTTTGAAGGTGGTCTTTCAGTTCGCGTCGTGTTTTCTAAAACAGTCTATTGTTTTGAAATGCCATGCCGTATATTCACTTATTGATTTGACTTATTTGCGGAACATTGACATTGTGCGTAGAGTGGAGCTAATGTTATTTTTGTTCCGGGGCGCAGTCCTGAGTGGTGTCGAAGACAACGTATTTTTTTATTTCTAATTATATATGACCGTGAGTCAAAAGTCTCAACCTAAAGTCATTTCCTGGTCATCCGAAAACTGTGGGAAAAAAATAGAAAACACTGAGGTAGTTGAGTGTCATACTTTAACAGTTTAAATTGTCCAACCTCTGCATTTTTTGAGAACATCAAATTATGTCTATTGAACTGAACTATTGAATTATGTCTATTGAATTATGTCTATTGAATTATGTCTATTAAATCAACTAAAATTAAGTTCTTATTTTGACACTTTATTCCACACATTACATCACCGACAGGTATTTCAGCACTTCAATACTGAGCCAACAAGATGGCTTCTACGAACTTGTAACCTGCGAGGCAAATGGTGTTCCGGCGCGGTGGGCTGCCCGTCTGCCATGAAGGCTAACACACTTGCTGCCAGTTGATTGTTACCGCCTTGAATTATAATAACAACCAATGAAACATTGGAGATTGGCAACACAGAAAGCCAATTAAAGCTTTGTTGGATGAAATTAGAATCGTAAAGGGGGAAAATCGTTTGTCAATTTCATTAAACATAATGTCGGAACCATTTCTTCAAAGATCAACATCACGTTGGATTATTAAAGGATATGAGCATAAAGTTGGGATTTGCACGTGCACTAATTTTATCCAACAATACTCGTAAAAGTACATATATTAAAGTGCTATCAATTACAACAAAAGTAACTCCAGCTCTACTGACAGTGCTGTATTATTAATAATTGTACTATTATTAATTAATGTACAAATATTTTTTAAAGTTACTATACGTAATAAAATAGTTTCAATGGGACATAGTGGAATGCCCTGGAGCCATGGCATGGTGTATGCATGGAATAACAAGGAGGGCCATGGCCGCCATGCAAGTAGGATCGAAGCGACGATATAAACAGCTGTACAGTACTCAACGTCCTTTTGCAAGACACTATATCTATCTAAATTTCGATACTGATGAATACGCATATTGTGTTCGCCGTTGGGTTTTCAACCTACTTTCGTTTCTAAAAGGGGATAAAAGCTTTACTGGGTTCACAATATGGATTGGACCTATTTTTTTAAAGGTTTGAATTTCTCCTCTAACTCGGCATAAAAGTTGTTGGTAATAGTCAAAATTTAGGTTATTCAGTTACTATACAAGGTATAATATTGGTTGGCTATGCTTCACTAACTTTCTGTTGCATGTTATTATGTTCACTTATCTGCGTTTATGCCGTCAAAAATCCGTGAGTCAACATGGATAAAGCAAACAAAACGCACCTTTTTATTTGCTTTCCTACCAACATCTAATCCAATTTAAAATCAATAGAGCATAATATATAAGACTGGTATGTTAGATTGTTAGTCATCTTCTAAATATAGAGATGATCTACGCAGCTTTTGTATGGGCTGTGCGCAAGTTAAATATTTTTGTGCGCGTCATCGAGGAAGTAATGGTAGGGAATTTAGAAAGACCATAAAATATTTCAGGATTTTGAAACACGATGGAACAGTATGAGCCCATCATCACTTACATTATGTCACACAAGTGATACGTATCAGATACAAGAATTGCCCATTGTAAATAACAATGCCAAGGTTATAGCTGCACAACTGCACAAGTTCAACCTACTCATTTTATCTACATCCAAAATATTTCAGTACATCAAAATATTCACCATTTTTACATTTTACTATTATACATAAAAAATTTCCTGATACAAATCTAAGACTAAAAAATCGGCGAAAAATTGTCCATAAACTGTCATACAATCCATACGATCGACAGGCCCTACCGCGTACTCGATGGTTAGCAAAGAAGCGAAGTTTACTCTGAAAATACATCATCTGACTAGCATTACGTTTGATATTTATGGCGCAATCTATCGCAAAGTAATCACGAGTGTTAGTTGTATAATGCATCTGTTTTTGATATTAATACATCTAATCCTGTCTTTGACGAGTTATATAATTGCACAAGTATATACAAGTTTTCGATTTGAAAACATTAAACATTACAAGATTTGTACATTGATATTTTCTCCTAGAGCATGGTAATCTTGTTAGAGCCGTGAATGTAAAGTTCTTAGCAGTGTGAATGGTACAACTACTGAATCAAACGAAGGAAGAACAATACCATGTCGCGGAGATGAATTGATACCAATGTTTATTGTCGTAATTAATTTTCAAACCGACCATGTCTACTGTGTGATCAAACTTGCTCGGTTTATGACCAAAGTACTTATATCAAACAAATAATCAGAATGTTAAGCACTTACCAACCTCAGTTCGTTTTTTTGAAGATCGCAAACTCTGCCTTCTCATAAAATTATCAAATTTGCCCATCTTTATTCAAACATAATGTACACACGGAAGCTAATTTGCTTTGAATGCCAGACTGGGCACAGGTTTCATATTTCTGGGTGAGACCCACAATCACAATTACATTAGGATCATATATCACAATTAATAAATACGATTAAAGAGTTGGCCCAAGCTCAGAGCTAAAATTAGATTTACATCAACATTTTCCATAAATATACCTAGGACTCCCGACTCCCAAGGGCAGAAATTCAAGCTGTCTTCAAGATCATAAGATGCGACAAGTGCTCCAAACAATCAAAATTCATTCAAGACGTTGGAATATAAATTAAGTATCTTGCACAATTGGAAGTTTGAAGAGGGGGGTAATGGGGTATTTTCGTGCTGCGTATTGGGGTAATTTAATTATTCGTTCTTCGTTCAGTCATCTTTTTATTAAACGTTTTTCGATCCCGACATGGATGCCGTGTATCGTGCTTGCGGTGTATTCAATATCCGTTCTCCGTTTTCAGCTGTATTTAAAGACGGTTATTTCTCGTTTCTGGACAATATATTCCATTAATTTTGTTTCTGGATTTTAGCTATGTTTTGATTGGGGAACGGAGGTTTCAAAGTTTATATAAATCATGAACATCGACGCAATTGTAAACAAATAGGTGAACACACCGCCTAGTACAGACTGTTTATATTCACCTTTAAGACTTCTAAGTAAGGTTGTTGCTTACATTTCATGTTCACTTTACATTTCAGATTCGTAATAAATTTATTTTACGTGCTTCAGGACTTCCTTCTTTTATTTTTCATGCTTCAAGATCGCTGCATATTATTTTTCGTTACCCCCCTCTTTGAATGTTCAAAGCAACCTTTCCTGCTAGTGTCATTCAGTATCATTTTTTGTGAGGTCTGAGGGTTCTACATTTTCTCAATTTACAGAATAACCTGCAGAAATCAAAATGTCAGATATTCAATTTCCTTTTCCAAAATGCAATTTCAGAAAATTGCGATCAACATGGCATGCCATCATGAACAGCCATGCAATCTTAACAACGGTACTATGATCTGCATGCATTCAGTTAAAAACTGTTTCTAAGTTGTTATAACGAAGAATGCACGCAACCCTTTCAATTGACTAAATGCTGTGTTTTCGATCTGCTATCTGTTATAATACAAATATGCAATCATTTTCCACTTTCCAGGCCATCTACTCAGTAACTAATTAAATATGCAATGAATCTCAGCTTTCATTTCCATATTATATATTCTTAGAGTTAATCTCCACTTCTCACATCTGGAACAAGACCTTGGTAATAGTGGAAGAAGACTTCTTCCACTATTACCAAGGTCTTGTTCCAGATGTGAGAAGTGGAAGAAGATAGTTACGTTACACATTTATGATGTTGGTTATTTTGTATCAAAGTTGTTTTTCATTGATGATTGATTAATCTGCTATCTTCCTGTAAGTAATCCTTTTCTATACTCCATCTGCTTTGAGACTATGTACACATTAAATTTATTTTCCTATTGTAACTCTGTCTGGTTTCTCACCAAATATAAATAAATCCTACAACTTATTTCATCAACCTCCTGACAAAGGACCTTGGAATTCGTGTATGGAAACTAAAGATCAGGAAGTCATGTTAGAGGAATGTTTACGAAAGTTATGAATACTAATGCAGAAGCAGGGATGTTTATGAAAGTTATCAATACTAATTACACTTTCCAAATGGGAAAGTGCATTAAATCACCGTTTATCTGTTTTCCGGTCGAGAAAACGGCATATGTTCATGGTGTTTACCACATACCTAGATCGCTGGCCCACGTAAAATGGCCGCCGTTATAAATAGAGTGGATGAAAACAAACAAAACATATTTTTTGACTCTCTTGTTTAATATTGTTACAGTTTTCCTTGAATTTTGCAACGCATCATACAAGAAAGTATTCGTAGTTGCCCCCGCAGGGTTTTGGCCCCAGAGGCCCAAAACCCGAGGAGGCGCATATTGAAGTCCCCGCACGTAATGTGATATCAATATATATATATATATATATATATATATATATATATATATATATATATATATATATATATATATATATATATATATATATATATAGATGGATAATATCGCAAAACATTGGGGAGTATGTTCCCGCACGTAATATGATATTAAGGTCAAGCATAAATTGTTAAAGCGATCAAGATTAGAAGCAATTAGTTTATAGTATTACAGTAAAAGGCCACAAGTTTAAAAGGTGAGGGTTCAAATTTTATTATAAAATGCAAGTGAATTATTGGGGTAGTGCCGTAGCTGCGCAAGTTAAAAGGTGAGGGTTCAAAGGTTGTGTTGCTTTCTGTAAGAATTAATATTATTCGCTTGGGTCAACACCTTGTCAAACGGCATTTTATTTATGTGGTCTGTTTTACGTTGTTACTAACATTTGTTGTTGGTGAAAGAGTCAATCCGTCAAATAACGAAAAGCTTTAAAGGTTAAACAGTAACACAAGATTAAAAACTCCGTCTATCAAGATTCTATCAAGTATCAACTATACGATTTTTCAGACACACTAATCAAAACAGGAACCAAAAAACTTGGTTCACACATCCGTCAGTCAAAAACAAATACAAATATAAAAAATCGAGCAAAGCTTAACACACAACGGTCACATTATAAAACGTTTGTAACAAGAGACTCGTATAGTCATTGTTCCATTATATTGAAAAGCGCCATTCCTTCAGCCGGATAGACGTATAAGGATCTTACACGTGGTTACTCTTTCACTTTCAATTTTTTAGTTATCAATCTTCTCAGAAAGTAGTAATAACATTTTGTCGTATTAGTAAGGCATGATCATTTTTTATAACAGCTAGTTAGTACACCATATTAATCAGCCGGGGGCAGTTTTAGTGTAAACTATTTCTAGTATAGTTTTCTTGGTGCGTATACCGAATACATTGGTATGGTCCATAAGTAAAACACACATGACATTGTTATTGAATATTGTGTCTACTGACTGATTTTATATATCGAAATCGTGATTTTTAGAGTACAGTACATCATAATTGCTTTTTGACTTTATTTTGACGATGATTTAGCTGTGGCATATACACTATATCTCCGGTTCCATGCGCCCAACAAGTTAGTTGGTTAGTGAACAAAATTAAGGACAAAAGTACCACTCAGTCACAGTGTTGGTTGAATTAAATAAGTCGGTTACACGTAAAGACTAAAGTGCACCAGCAGCTTAGAGATCGCGTTGTTCATTTATACATTGTTGAAATAGTCTTGAAAATATCTGTGACTGTATAGTTCAACAACACGAGTTTTTCAATGTGAAAGTCACTGACTAGGTTTTTATAATATTTGAATAAAGAATTAATAATCACAGTTTATAGCAAGACTTATAATCACACACGCGTGTCCGGTGTCGTTATTTTGAGGGAAGTGTGAACGCCTGTAGTCCTGCAGTCAAATCACTATCAAGGATCGCAGGCTCGGGGAACGAGATTGTATAAGTACATGGTCCTGATCGAAGTAATCGCAATAGATTTTTTTTTCAGTGGTAAAGTGTGAGAAAAGGTGTTCTGATTAACATATTAAAAATAAAAAAAAATCCCTTCGGTGGAACATGGTAAAAATCGAGTTTTTCTTACTTCTGCCAACAAATACCATTGCGGACAAAATGTTGAAATTTTGAAATTATTGTTTTGCAAATATAACCTGCATCATTGGAAAGCTTAGAAAAAACTAAATATAGATCAATTAAACGGTTACCTTGCTTTTGCCTATCCAGCCGAAGTTATACAAGATTTAAAATGCCATAAATTTGTATTTTGTGCAAATTTTGCGCTATTTTTCCAACTTTGAGCTAGAATAACGACAAACTAGCTAGTAAATTGAATATAACGGTTAAATTGACCTTTATATAGTTTTGTTTAAGCTTTCCAATAATGTAGGTTACATTTGCCTAAAAATGATTTCAAAATTTGAACATTCTGTCCACAATGGTTTTCTATAGGTAGAAGAGAAACTCGATTTTCACCATGTAACATGTTCCACCGAAGGGATTTTTTTTTATTTTTAGTTTAGATGTTAATCAGGACACCGTCCCTCACATTTTACCACTGAAAAAAATTCTATTGCAATTTCTTTGACCTCTGGTCACAGATTGACTGGACTACTGAGCAGGCGTCTTGTTCAGATTTTAAATGCATGCTAATGAAGCGTGAAATTGTCTCCATGGGCAGTGAATGCTAATAAAGTAAACAAGTAAATTCATTTTACAAGTACATTAGGATATTCGCAACTGATCTTTATGGGCGTTTGTGAATGCCCACAAGGCATAAAGATTAAAGATCAGCTGCTCATATTTTAACTAGTACTTAAATATAAACACTTGGCCCCATCTTTTACTTTACCTTAGGCCTGTTTTATACGTCGAATTTCGGTCGCGTCAAATGCAATTCAAACAATAGTTAAAGTGTATATACAATGAAAATTTCGATTTTCTGATTTTTGCATTATCTGAAAATTTCATCTTTTCTGATCATTTAAATATCAACCTTGTTGATCAACCTTGTTGATATTTAACCATCCATTATCTATGGTCTTAATTGTATTCGACGCGACCAAAATTCGACGTATAAAACAGGCCTTACCATGATCAACTCGATTGAAATTTTACAAACAATGATATTTTAAAATTATATGAGTAAATATCAGGATTTTGGGCTACGATCGATACAACTAATTGTAGAAGGGTTTTGTAGATGGAAATTTCGAGCGTGAATTTTATAAATTTATTAGACCTAACAACCAGAAGCAGTTGCGAAAAATGCAACTACAGGCTGTCAGGAACTGGCCTTGTGATTCTGGTGCAGCAGCTCTAACCAACTGAGCCACAGAGGCTTTATCAGGAGTTTTGGGAATCTATCATGTGGCCGATGATAACTAGATTTTCTGCTCTCCCTGTTTGCTGTCGTTATTGCAACCTCGTTCCCAGACTCTTGCCTCTTGAGGAGGAAAGACCCTGGTAGGAGCTGGTCACGTGATCTGCTAAAATCTGGCAGATTTGTAATTGATGATGATGATGATAAATTTATAACTTGCATTTTGTTTTACAAGTTTGATTTGATTTTATTTAAAAGGAATCCAAGATAGTTATTTAGAAATCTGCTAGATTTTAGCAGATCACGTGACCAGCTCCTACCAGGGTCTTTCCTCCACAAGAGGTAAGAGCCTGGGAACAAGGTTGTCGTTTTTGCCGGAAACAAGACAAGATGCAAACTGTAGCTTAACCTTAATACTAAATCTATTCTTAAATAATTTGTTATTTATGTCGATATATACATGTTGTTGATTATGTTTATCAAGAATTTTATGACTCAAATTTTTTACTAGAGAGTAGAGTATTCACGATGACGATTAATATTTCTATACCGCAAATTTACATGTGGATAGGAAATAAAATGCGCTTTCTTTACGTCAAGTATTACGCTTACCTAATTACATGACTTAGCCCAGACTATTTTACCTTTACAACAATTGTGATATTACTTTCTTAACTGTGTTTATCCTAACCCATCCTGTCAAATGTGGGAGAAAACCGGAGCACCAGGAGTAAACCCTTTCTCGCTGCGGACTCTTTTCACGTGAGTCCGTAGCGAGAATCGAAAGGCGCTTGCTGTGACGACTGTATGCGCCACAGAAGTCCCTTATTAATTTCGAGTGTGTAAATTTCGCGAGGTGTTTTATTCGCGCGACTTTATAATTTCGCTTTTTTAACAGTCGCGAAATTTAAGTCACGCAAAATTAAGTACGAATATGGCAGAACGGTTTTGTAGTTGGAAATTTCGAGTGAATTTTGTAGAAATGCATAAAATTCAAACTCGAAATTTCCATCTACCAAACCCATCTGCAATTAGTTCTATCGAGTGTATAGATTCCCCAAATCCTGTTATTTACCGATATATACACCTTACATTGGCATCATCTTTAGTATATATATATATATATATAGATAAACTTGCGGCTAGAGCTGGACAACTGGCCTGTGTAGCTCAGTTGGTTAGATCACTGCACCGGAAGGGCGGCAGGTTCGATTCCTGCCAGAGGATCCATAGTTGCATTTTTCACAACTGCTCTTGGTTAGGTCTAAGAAATTTATAAAAATTCGAAATTCCCATCTACAAAACCCTTGTACATTTTCAAATTATATTTTATCATTCCAAGTCTGACACATAATTTTTACACATAGCATAACAAATAGGAAAAAAATTATTGGCTTACGTTCGTGTTATTATACACATAGCCAAACATAACCATAGGTCTATTACGATATTCCAGCACAGGAAACATGGCTACGTATTCCATTGAAACAGTAGGAAAAGTGGCCATCCAATTTTGAACTTTACATAACTCTCTAATACCATTTTCAATAAATGAGTAATGATTCTATGGTAGCATTCTGCTAATACGCAGCTAAAAACTTCATATTGTGGGACTAATCTTCCCACGGACCTACATCAGTTTATAACTTCCTTACTCCTTACATGGGCCCATGATGGCAATGCATGTCGACATATCGGGAACTGTGCTACACATTAGATATGAGGCTTCGTATTTTAGTATAGGCGAGTATGCAATATTTGTGAAGCAAGTGTAAACCTCAATTGTAAACATCAACACACCCATGTGAACCAAATCTACCGCCACCAAGAGGAACGTCAGAAATAGCAAGTTGGCTGGGATTAGTAAGGTTTTAAGATCGCTTACCGCGAGCGTATACACAAATCTATCAACACACATTTTAGCCGAAAACACCACAAACTTTTCAAATTCTCATAAGTGCATGGTTATTATTCGATTTAATAGAAAGTTTGTCTTCGTTTTGGATATTACTGTCATGATTTTTCACGACATTCAAATTCTTAACTCATGGATTCAGTTAATTTACATGTAAGACAAACTGTAGCTAATATCTCAAAAACGGAGACAAATATCTAAAATGTAATAAATAATATCGAAAATGCATTACAGTTTCAAGCCTTCTTTTTAACTATAGATTAATTTATAAAATTTCATTCAGATGAAAGTTAACGATTTGATCGCCAGTTCGGCCTAAAGCATGAACAATGTACGCATGCATGGACCAATGTTTTTGACAAGTGGGATTTTGGCAAAGGAAATACATTATTAGAATAATATGATCATATTGCCCATTGGGATATTTCTCATCCGGGCAAAAGAGGTCCAAGCACACCACATCAAACACGCAATGTTTATTTAACAACTTCGAATACTCTTATCAGTAGGAACCAATGAGGACTCAGAGTGTAAACCATGCACGCGACATAGTTTTTGCAGTCTACGCCAATTCATAATATACCCGTAGAATAAGAAAGACGTCGATCAAATACACACGAAATTTTGAGGATTACTCAGCTCACTCCCCATCGGGGCTTTTCAGTGACCGATCACATCAAGTATTACGCTTACTTGAGTTACTTACTTAACCTAGACTAATTATCTTTTACAACAATTGTGATATTACTTTCCTAACTATGTTTATCCCAACCCACTCTGTCAACTTTCCCTGTGGGAGGAAACCGGAGCGTCCTGAGAAAACCCACGACTTTCGGCAGAGAGTTGACAGATTCTTTTCATAAGAGCCCGTAGCGAGAATCGAACCCACGTTCTCAGAGGTGAAGGACGCTTGCTCTGACGACTGCACCACCGAAGCTCCTTACTCTTGTTAAGACCGGTGTCCCAGGAAATTTCCTCCCCCCCCAAAAAAAAAAAATTCTTCTACCCAAATTTCCTAGGAAATTTGGCCCCCTCGAAAACATAGTTCACTTTATCGCTGTAAGCTCGGAAATCGTGAAGCTTCTAAAACCAAGAATGCAAGATCCTTAAAGTGTTTGTAAGTATTTATAGTTAGTTTGCATAATTTATTTGTGTCAAAATTCTTCATTGCGGCCAAGAGCTAAAAGTTTGAAGGAAAGCGTAATAATAATAATGTGCTAGTGCAGTCATGCCAGACACATCGTACATGGGTATCTGTAGAGGACAACGTTAATGCATAATGGCTTAGCTTTAAGCTAAGGACACGAAACGATTTTAAGAGATAGGAATTTCTAAGATATTACAAGTTATATAGATCTATAAATTCAGTCACATAGTATAAAATTAGTCAGAATAACAACCGCACTTTGGCAAACGATGACATCATGTGTTGGCTAATATGTTAATATACGCGTCTAATAAATAACAGGGAGTAATTAGCATTAGGGTAAAAGTAGACTTTTAAGTGGAAACGTCTGTTCGAAAAACAAAATCAAACGAGTGGTTATTTCGTAAAAAAAACTTTTACTATGCATTTTACTTACATATACACAGTATATATGGTCGCTCATGTGGTTGGGATGCATTACAGAAGCATTCCATAAAAACGAAAGTAGACTGCATGCTTCATGGCTCACAAAAACAATTAAAACATTCCACACACACAAACGCACAAAGGTTTGAATGACTAACAAAACATTCCGCAAACACAAAAGCACATATCGTATGTATTAGCAAAAATCGTATCATTTTAAGTATTATAAAAATCGTTTCGTTTCCATGGCTTAATAATACAGCCATTATTTATGAACGTTGTCTTCTACAAAGCTGGTCAAAACCAAACGCGAAAAGTACGCTAAAGTTTAGCTCTTGGCCTAATTCTCGTCAATATTGCAATTCAATGGAGACTTTTGACACAAAAAATTACGCAACTATAAATATTGAGAAACATTTCTAGACTTTGGTTTTAGTAGAAGCTTCACGATTTCCGAGCCTAAAGATAAGGCCAAATTTTCGGGGATTTCCTGTGACACCGGTGACCACTACTAATTTGCATGCTGAACGAGTGCGTAGGTGTTTCCTATTGTAGGTTTAATTGCATATCGTTTGGCAGCTAATTCAACAGTATTCTGCAATACATAACAATGCTCGTGGAAGTCACTCATTGTAGTCGTGTTTTAATCCATTTAAAACAAAGACTGTTTTATCGTAATTAAAATTCTCGTGCTGCGCACTCGAATTTTAAATATGATAAAACACTCCTACGCGTGTTTTAAATAGTACATAATCGCACTGTGATAATATTTTTATATATAAACCCACTTTGAGATTGCAGTGGTTATTTATTTGAAGAGTTTAAAACCACTACATAGCCTGAAATGTCATGGCACCATGAGCGGGGAGAACGCCTGGCATTTTCAGGCGTAGTGAGTAAACCATTGACGTAGTGATTTTGATGCATTGTTTTGATGTGGTCTTTATGACGTAAAGAGGGTTTTTTCTCCACGTCATCTTGACGACATTTTTGCATTTTTTAAATGTCGCATAGTGTATTTTGACCATCATCGAAGAATTTTTGCTTTAGTAATAACTTTGTTCTTCTCCTACATTGAATACTTTTCTTTTTTTATTGAACACTTTTTTTCGGTTTCGTCAATTCAATTTTGCATAAAAGACGGTCGCATTATGAAATTTGGGCTCACCGGAATTGTAAGTCATTCCATGCTCATACACAATAAGAATACAAAATGGCGTCAGAACCAAACAATTTACTAGGTCAATTAGCCATTCCGAAGTTGATGAGTGGACTGGGGATGAGTGTTAAAAAGTGCCCAAATTAAGAAATGAACCAAATCACTAAAAATACCACCTCAAAATTAGTAAGTATACAAAGTTTGAAGACGTTTACATGAATACCCTTCGAATTATAAGCATTCGAAAATCCGATATTTAATTGCAATTTTTGCAATTGCAATTTTTGTTTTTGGGACGCGCGTGCCAAAAACAATCTTTTAATCAGAAATTTCATAATTTTCGAAAGCTTATTATTCGAAGGATATTCATGTAAACGTCTTCAAACTTTGTATACTTCCTAATTTTGAGGTGGTCTTTTTAGTGATTTAGTTCATTTCTTAATTTGGGCACTTTTTAACACTCGTCCCCAGTCAACTCATCAACTTCGGAATGGCTAATTTACGACTGCTGCAGAGAAATAATTGTCAAAACCCACCAGCTGGAACTGGCCGGGTGCTCTCTCGATACGCTATATACATGCACAACGCTACCCTATTTTAGGCTGATGGGAATGAAAACATGTAACAACACTTTGGTTCATACTGACGTCCAAGATTGTATTTTGATGGCACCTCCTCCATTACTTTTCATTTTAAACAAATAAATAATTCAAGTATAGTAGAAACTTACACTTGGTGACGTAGGCGATCCAATTCCTGGACTGAGACTTCCTGCACTTGGACTCGCTAAGATAAAACGTGAACAAAAATTTAAGCAAAAGTTGGCTAAGACGTGCGTGCGAGGCACAGAACAGCAATATCACATCACATGCATTGGTTCATTATAGGAGACAGTACAGTGGCGATGGATGTTGGAGTGCTTAGATCCTTTGCATAGACGAATCAGTGATTCAGTGTCACACTGACGTTTACGGGAGACTACTTAGCCCAAACGGCAAACCTCAAATCGCCTTTGAATGTAATTCTACAAGACTTCGATAGCTCGGTATAGTTAACTCGTGCTTCAATTTTAGTGCACAAACTGTTCTTACATTTGAAGTATGTCGGTCTGTCATAAACGTCAATAAGAACGGCCATCTATAACGGCTCGATTGACTTCCGGTTAGCGTCCGTGTTGTCAGAAACGTATTGCAAAATCTGTAACTTGGATATCTCATCAGCTAAATTGGTGGACACTGACAGCCGTCATGCAGATGAGTTTCAGTATATGTGTTACGGTAAGGCTCTTCTGGTCAACTTCCAAAAGTTCTAACAGTTATGTTAGCACGAAAACTCTCTATCTCATAGTGTGTTTGCCACGAATACAAGGCTGCTACATAATATGCACGTACTCACTCCCATAACTATTGATTATTGATTAAAACCGCCAATTAATTATTTGATTTATTCATTCATGCACTAATTAATTACAAGACATTTAGGCTGAGGGAATCAACAGACAAAACTGGTGCAAACAACCAAGACGACTAGCAAATGGAGAACAAAAGTATCGGCAAAATATGAAAACAGAAAAATCTAATAAAAAATACTTCCTAACACAGTTGCTGTACATCTCCATCCTAAAGTAGTACATGAGCCAATTCGTGAGTAGCGATTACGCGTGAGTCAATTCGTCAGTTGCGATTGCGGGTACATGCATTCAAATCTTGAAAACAAGGTCTGTGATAAGTTATACTCGAGCTATATTCTTGTACTTTGATTATTGTCTCGCGCACGTTATCTTTACATTAAAATATCATCACACGAAGAAGTTGCATTTCAAACGAGTTCATGCAGGTAGCTATATTAAAATACAGGTTCGAACACCAGCAATCAACAAAAGATTTACATATTACTGTATATAAGCAGTTGTATGCACAAAGTTTTTTAAAAAGCTCCTATATAATTGAAGAAATCCAAATCCTTTAATTTACACTTAATATCTGTAGTCTTCATCAATTTCCTTAAATAATTACGTAACATGCACGAATATTTGTATTTGTATATTTATTTGTAAATTTAATTTTTAATGTATTTACTTATAATCATGTAATTCAGTAGAGACTGCAATGTGATTAATTAAACAGATTATTATTATTATTATTATACTTTTCTGGCAAAAAGACGTCAATATGACATCTTTTACAAAACCCCCTGCCTCGCTATACCAAAGACGTGATGGCCTCAATAGCGGGAAATTTTCGAGATAATTTTCATAACCTCAAATTCTGCGTTGTTTAAGCCCACGGGCATAAACGTTTCTCATAAGAAGTGGGAGCCAGCTAGCCTATGGGAAAGTTCGCTTTATACATATTGTACAATAAGAATGTTGTGGTCAAGGATTTGTTTTGGGATTTGTGAGATTCAGTCAGAACTTTTCAACATTATTTTTGACTATGTTTTTAATTCCGTGTTTTCAAGCGTATATTTCACGAAAAGACGTCGACCAACAACCTCCTCAAAAACGTCATATATTGACGTCTTCTTGTAATGTATATTGATCCTCCCAAATATCCTTCCCTAGATTGTCAACATCCAAAATGGCGGAAAAAGATCGCCAAGAATTCGGAAAATGATCGTAATTCGGATTTGTGAACCGGTTTCATCCGTGCAACATGACGTATGTACAATAGTTCAACGATGCATAATATGAAACTTCCAGAGTAAACAGGTGGGAAATTTGTCGTCGCTGACCAAAAAATCGCGGGCAGAAACAAAACTCATTGCATTTACATTCAAAACAAAGCAGAAAGTTAGCAAGAAGCTGTTTTAGCTGACGATTTTTTGCTTTCCATTCAACGATTTACAAATTAACGGTTATTCTTTTAAAAGTCGACTATGAGTTCTTTGGTTTTGGACATTTGTTTTGTAATCGAGTGACTGGAAGAAGTTAATATGGCGACGTGAACATGGGAGTAAATACCGTATACGTCGATCTGTGGCTTGTTTAAAACCGTAATAAACGAAGAAAGACGTGATATGAGAATGAAATGTAAGTTGAAATTAACTTTATATGCCTCAAATTTTCCATCCTATGTTTCTTAATGTAACTTCAGCTGTCTAAGTTCAAAATACAAGCTCGCGAAATTTGACAAGTTTTGAAAATATGTAAAAATAGCTTGATTTTGAACTGGATTTTCTCAAAAATAGCCCGTGGCCTCAATTTCAAATATAGGTAAATGAAAAGAAAAAACTTTTAGGTGTTTGTAGGTATCAAACATATCGTCAGGAAAATAGGGGCTCACAATGTTTTAGCTGAGTCTTTGAGACCCAGTTGCTTCGCACGTGTTGTTGTCAAATTTTTGCCAGGAATCAAAGGCCGAAATGTGAACTTCCTTCATGAAAACCGCTTCGAGAAGGGTCTAGATTGAAAATTTAGCTATTAATTTCGATTTCGTGAGCATATTTTGGTTACACGTTAAATATTTTTGTACTTGATGAGATTCAAAATTTGTTGTATATTCAAGCCCGGCTTTAGTGTAATTTTGGTGATGACCGGAACAGAAATAAAGATATTTTAAAAACTGGCCGTGGCCTCACGATAAAACTTTCTGAAAATGTTCTCTGTTTCATGTATTTTTATTTGATATCTTAGGTATAAGCGTAAAAATAGGGGCTCATACAGTTTACGAGGTTGTAAAATGCATGACTTGCCTCTATTTTCATGTAAACATTCGAAATTTTTCGACAGCAAAGTAGCAACTGTTTCAGATCGAATGCACACGGACAGCCCACCAGAGACAATGGCAGGGTACTGAAATAGAACGTCACTAAAAAATTCTGTATGATTAATTTAGATCATGTCCATTTTCAACATAAAACAGTCATTTATTTTGTACAAACATTTGGCAATATTTACACGATTGTGCCTTTTTGTAAACACGCGTTGCGTGTATTCCGCGCAATTGTGTTTTTCAATTTGCTCGCGCATGCTCAGACAAATTTCCCACCTGTTTCCAGAGTAACATCAAACTTACCACTTCCCGAATTTCGTGAGCTTGGAGGTTTACCAAGCAAGGTTAGTGCAACATATGATCCCGCTTTAATCAAGGTCACTACTTCCTTATGATTAGAGTTCGTCACCAGAGTTCCATTAACCTTAAAATACACCCAAAATATTTGATTAAATAGTCAAACTCATGCAATGGCCATTTTGTATTTTCTACATAACAGTTGTTATAGTATTTTCTGTATTTTCGAGAATATGAATCGATAATGCAATAATTTCCACCTAAACTCGACATTCAGGCCTGCTCTGCACGACCAGAAAATAATTTCTAAGCACTAGTCTATGCACATGCATCCGTTTAAGCACAGTCTAAAGCACTAGTCTATGCACATGCACCCGTTTAAGCACAGTCTAAAGCACTAGTTTGACTATGCACATCCGTTTTGTGGATTTCAAAATTTCGAAAAACTGGCTCTGGGGGCATGGTGCGTGGTTTCCCATTCCCACCATTGATTCCCACAAGAAACCAAACTAATAAATAGTTGGCAGTTGATGTAAAGATCGCAAAACATTTTGAATAGTTGCATATCATAATGACATATGGTCCGATTAAGTACTAGTAACTCATATACGATAGCATTAGGATGCATTGATATATACCTTGACAATCTTGTCACCAACCCGAACTCCAGCACGATATGCAGCACCCCCTAAAGAAAATATTGAAATGTCCACTTCGAATGCAACAATTAAGGCCGTTTTCAAGCGTACCGTACCAAAACGTATCAAAAAGATTTTAAACTTTCAAAATTTAGTGATTGTTGATTGGTTAACACTTCCGATCCGTAGTACGCCAAAAAGACTTGTGACGAACCTTTCATTTTGATACGCAAATACACCTGGAAGTACGGGGTATGACTAAAGGGAGCGTTACCAACCGGAGAGTTATGATTTCGGAGAGTTATGTTCAAAGTGAAACCACGCCCACTTTCCCCAACGACCACACCCAATTTCTTAACTCTCCCGACGTTTCCTTGAACTAACATGCGAGAGTTATGTTTGACGTAACTCTCTCTCTCGTTAACATTATGAAGATGTTAGAGTGTTATCATTTTTTATAACTCTCCGCGTTCACGATAGCGTGTCAATAGCGTGCGTCCAAACAGGAAATACAACTTGACTCGGTCAAACCAATGAGATGCTTGCATCAGAAGGGTCAAAGTACCCCCAGAAGCATGTTTTGACGTGTATTTGGCAGTAAATACGGTAGGCATAGTTGCAAGAAAATTAAGAAAATTGAATCTTTCAGCAATTCAGGTTTTGGAAATACTTTCCCAGATCAGCCAATAGGGCATCACATTGGAAATGTTTTCTGGTTCTATCTAATACAAGAGCTGTATCTGAATGCTGGTCTTGCTAGATAATCCAAGTGAGCATGTATATTTATATAAACATTTACATATAGATGAACTAAAACTTCGTAAGTACTAAAGTACTATTAATTCTACTAGCGTGAAATGTTAAAGCTGACACTTGAGAAAAAAGTAAATTTACAAATATGTACTAATATGTGGAAGTTTTTCTCAAAAAACTGACTTAACTCTCTTCATTGCCACAATCATGAACGCGGAGAGTTATAAAAAATGATAACTCTCTAACATCTTCATAATGTTAACGAGAGAGAGAGTTACGTCAAACGTAACTCTCTCATGTTAGTTCAAGGAAACGTCGGGAGAGTTAAGAAATTGGGTGTGGTCGTTGGGAAAAGTGGTCGTTGGGAAAAGTGGGCGTGGTTTGGGTGTTGTTCGAACATAACTCTCCGAAATCATAACTCTCCGAAATCACAACTCTCCGAGATAACTCTCCACTTCATAACTCTCTGTTTATCCGGTCCCGGCAGTACGTGAATTTTTCAACCTATTTCAGTTCAACCTGCGCATGCTAACCAGTACGTTTCGGTACGTGGAAAATAGCAGTGAGCCCGCTCGCAGGCTACGTGGAAAACGGCCTTTAGCCTTTCTCACGCAGGTCAATTTCTGCCATTTTTGGGGCAGTGTCGTCCCAGACCTGGAAAATAGTGGCATCTTGGGATCCTGAGCAACATTTGCTTTGCAACAAGATTGAGGAACATTTTGAATTTTTCACGCGTACTTTTAGACCTTTTAGGGAGAATTTTAAGGAATCATATTTAGTTATCTGCCATTTGAGTCTATTTTGAGATTGCGAAGTGTTCTTCATATCCTGTTAAAAGAATTTGAAGATTGTTTTGTTTCCTCAGCAATTTTACAACCAATATAATTGAGGAACATTTGAAAAAGGCAAATTCAGGATCCGAGGAACATTGAACACTTGTTCTAGGTCTGTGTCTTCCCTCGTCAAAGAATGTAGACAATTACAACAGGCTTGGGAGAGGCGGTACCTCCAAAATGGGGATATAACCCGAGCGTGAGAAAGGCTAATTGTGTTTATATTATTCTATTTTATCATCTTATAGTATTATACTCTATAATAGGACATTTACAACGTTTAAAAATTATTATTATTTAAAGATATTTTTAGAAACTCATTAATAATTCAGTTATATCTGATAAAACACTCCTACGCGTGCTTTAAATAGTACTTATAACACGGTAGCCAACATCAATCCATTTATCACTTATTTACTTAGACCAAGGGAAACAGTGTGTTTTGTATTTTGTGGTTGCTCTTTCACCAAAACTAGATAAATGGAATGCCGTAAATGTTTAATAAAAAAGTTTAATAATAAAATGAACTTCAGAACATCACGGTTGACACGCATGCGCACTGCACCCATTCTATTGTTGACCGGTCAACAATAGCTGTTATCGTAATTGAACACGTCTATGCTACGGACCAGCGGTATCTGCATTATTTTAACATCGAGACGAGGCTATAGGGTCATGTTTTGTGTTTTTTGACCCTTTAGCCTCGTTTTCGTGCGTACTTCCACTGAGATACCGCTGGTATGCCGCAGCGGCGTATTCAATTACGATAACAGCTATTGTTTCACGCAGTGAACATGACGTTAAACGGCGGTAAGATATAACATTACTCATTAATATACTAAATTCTAAATCTAAGGCCTGTTTTATACGTCAAATTTCGGTCGCGTCGAATGCAATTCAAACAATAGATAATGAAGCTTAAGCCTGGTTCACACTGGTCGTAAGAATCGGGGATTTCCATTGTCTGTGGGCATTGATGTGCATAATGCTTTGTCCATCGGAAAAAAATACAATAGATCGCCGATGAATTACGACCAGTGTGAACCAGGCTTTAATGAGGTTTATCATCTCATTATTATCTATTGTTTTCATTGCATTCGACGCGAGCAAAATTGACGTATAAACCAGGCCTAAAACATACACACATGCATATACCGAAGACAAGACACACACACATAACGCCCTTATCAGATCTATTTAGAGTTATTCCACATGGTTGCTCCTCTATAGCCGAAAGTCTTTTTCAATGCATTAGTGTTAGGTTTGGGCAGTACTAACTTATTATTGTTGCTTCTTAAGTCATAGCAGTTCTCGAAGTATTAATTAATTAATTAATGAAAAATCGCATTTATAACACAAATGCGATTTTTCATTAATTCTTCGAGAACAAGTGTAATTTCCTATTTTATCATTTCCGGGATATGTAGTTCTGGGAACCAATCATAAAGGAATACCGAATGGTTTTCCGTGCAGGATTGTGTGATCCATGCACGAGGGATGTCGCGAGACTTTCGGAAATCGTAAAAATACTCGAGCCGCAGGCGAGTGTATTTTACGCTTTCCGAAAGTCGAGCAACATCCCAAGTGCATGGATCACGCTATCTTGCTTGGAAAACCATTTGGTAATTGTTTTATAAAATAACTACAGTGAAACAATGACATTTTGAGAATCCCGCGAAAATCCCGCGAAGGCATTTTAATTCCTCGTGCAGGATAGCCTGATCCTGCACGGCTATTGACCAATCAAATTGCGTGTTTCACTGTAGTTATTATATAAATGTTTTTCTGATGTCCATCTCCGCGGCAAAGGGAGGCCATTTTAAACATTTTGGCCAGGGAGTGTGCTGGATACGGATAGCGCCCTCCGATATCCGGACGAAATATAGACATCCAGCACTATTTGCTATCCGGTGAATATTCGCCGGATATTTAATGGATACCACATGCAGTGACTTCTATTTATAACCATAAATTCGAAAATATGTTTCTCTTGATTTTTGGCTTTAAGAAACTGTAAAACACGAACAACTGCTAGGCGTGTGACGCATTAAAACGAAATTACAGAGGTTTTTTGTGACGTAAACTGCTCTTTGCTCTATATATGGTCTGCCGACCCCTACTCTATATGCCACATTAAAAACACAGTGTTTCACTGCACCCTGGTAAGACCCATTTGCTAGATATACGTCATTCATTTCTGATATATCGCATGGCCACGATTTCAGGGTATAGAAAATACATTATCACGAAAAAGCTTGCTACTCTGTGTCTCTGTCTCTGGTATAGATGAACGCAATCCCTGTGAGCTCATAAATAAAGCACCAAAACATGGGATATATATGCAGTTGATATTTTTGGTTATTGCTTGGTTCAGTAGTGCCAATTGTTCGGAAACTTCGCGAATCAACACGACCAGGGACGCCGGAACGATGTGAAGGCAAGGGGGGGGGGGGAGATTTTCGTGAAAGGGCACTTTTGAATTGATATATACTAAGAGATGTTTGCAAAACATCGGGAGTTTTGGTTTTGGTTTTATTAGCTTCGCCAACAAAAAATATACAAAATTACTATATATAATTACATAACATAACATAACATAAATTACAACATATGACGTCTAAATTTGGCAGGAGCACCGCAACAGCGTCAGCCAATTACTGCGGGTCCAAAGATTATAAAAACTAGGCTAAAAATGTGTTAAAAACAACAAGTTAGCCGTCTTGACATGTTGCGAGCAACGTTACATGAAGTACAAATTGTTTACCATGTTCGAGCGTCCTCGGAGTCATAGGATTGGACAAGAGCGTTTTTGTAGTATTCCACTAATATTGATTTAAATGTACTGAGAGGAAGAGAGAGAGTAAGTTGCAGATCATTTACTAGAATATTCCAGAGCCGTGTTGCTCTATTAAAAAAGGATCTTTCAAAAGTTGTAGTTTTACATTTTCTCGTAATAAACTGCGTGACATTACTGTTGTTGTTTCTTGTTACTCTCGTCAATCGGATAGCTGGAAGAACATCTGTATTCACAGTTATTATTCCCGTGACTGCTTTAAAGAAAAATACGAGGTCCAAGTATTCCAGTATAGGTTAA